ACCATTACTCAAATATCATTATAAAATTTTAAATATGTATCTTGACCTAAGTCAACAAATTTTTTTTGGTAGCAATTTTATTGAAGCTAACCCTTCAACTCAATATCTTTATAGTTTTACGAGTGACAAATACCAGCATTGATCATATCTATGACTGATTGTTATAATACAATACATTTTTTAATGAATTAAATATAATTATATACCCATTAAATAATCATTATACTCTTCGATTAAAAATAATTAAGAAAAATATTTGTTGCTGCAATACTTAGATTAATAGTTTTATTGTTAAATAGACATTGTATTGTTCATTCCGATAGTCTTTAGCAACCGAATTCCAAAATTCTATCAGAGTTTGAAATGAATAAGCAGAACGAGTGCTACGATGATGCACATATTATTCGTATAGATGATTATAATGTGTGACGTGGCGAATTAGTGTAGTTGTAGTAGTTTGGTGAAGATTTATGAGAGAGTTATTTGTCAAAGTTAAATATTTTAGGTTATTATAGTTACTTCTAAATGGAGCTGGAATGTATTTTGGAATATCAGTTTTTTCTTGTATTCTAGAGCATAATTTGGAAGTGGATAATTTGTTGTAAGAAACGCTGATTATCGTATAATGTAATTTTTAATTTTAATTTTGCATTTTTTTAGAAATATAACTCTTTTGGCATTTTTAGGGCATTTTGCAATTTACGSAGGTTTTCAGAGCATTATAATCTTTGCCTTAAATTGCTAATCTCAGCCTTTATTTCTAACTTTTTTACTAAAACGGTTATTTTCGATACTTAAAATGTCTTTAGCATGTTTTTTTAAAAAGATTGTGCTCTTTTAAAATCAAGTTTAAGCATTGATAATTTATTAAACGGAATTACTAAATGTTTAAAGAATTTTGCAAAATTATAATCTATACAAATATTGTCATAATAAGAATAAATGTATTAAGGTACCTACTCGGGTACCTACTAGTGAACTTATTATTAAGCTTTATGGGATTATTAAATATAATTCACATCAATGCAATATCGCGGGATTCAGAAGGTTTGGTTTAATTTGTTGTTAAATTTACGAACACAGTGTAATAATATTACAGTAATATATTATGGCATACTAGCATAAGGTTCGAAGAAATTAATAGATCAACAATAATAACATAATATAAGACATATACCAATTACTCATGACTGCATTGGTGCGACATTTCCTGATTTTAATTCTGAACGATGTATAGGTTTATAGGTTATCAGAAAAAAATTAAACTATTTTAATTTTAAATGGGCTTTATTTTTATAATAATTTATTGCTACATCGATAAATGACAAGAACACATTAAAAATTAGCCATTTTAAAATTATAATGATCTGATATTAATTGAATACATTATACCTACACATTATTGTAAAGATATAAATATATGATACCAATAAAATAATCATAATAAAAGAGATCAATAAAAATAATTATTTCAGAATTTTTTAAATGTATGTTAATTTATGAGTTGTAAATAATTAGATATAAAAGAAATTATACTATTGATACATCATTAAAGTAAGTAGCTCATAATTTAAGGTTTAATCCTATCAATTTTGTCGTGGTATACTTATTTTATATTTACTTAATACATAATAATTGTAAGTACTTAGAATAAGTTTTTATTTATTATTGTAGGTATAATAATTCATTTGTTTTGTGAAAAGCTGATTTTATTTTTTTATTTAAAATATGTTAGTAATAAAAACATACATAATATTGGTAGGCAGTAGGTAAAAAATTAGTACGAGAAACAAAATTAGCATAAAACTATTCTTTCGTATATTACGCGTGCAGTCGTCCAAATGCAGAAGTCAATGGGAAATTATGAGAAATATAGCCCCTTGACTTGCGAATAAATTTGACATGATTTGCAATTTCGACGTTTTTTTATTCATAATATGTGTACTATAATAGGTCTAGTATAAACAAAACTGTTAAAAATATTAGCATAAATAAATATCAACAAAGTTGTCGGCCAAACTAAATAATCTGGAATTATTGAATTATGAAAAAGGTCGGACATTGACAATTTATTATATATACATTATACATAATTACCTATAATGTAGGTTATTCTATATGTATCGTAATACGCGACAGGTAGCCGGTTTGACGATAACGCGAAGCGCGTAATACGCGGGGACCGATGCCGATCGTAAACGGTTACAAATTATTTATAATGATATTATATTTATGGCCCGTGTTTGTTTATATATTATTATAGTGTTACTTCACACATTATCTGTACATTATAGCCATTAACCTTCCGTATTGTTATCACCTCAGTCCTTTATCATACGTGAAATTCTTTTGATTGTCAAAATCGATCGGCAAACCGGGTTTTCGGGCAGACATCTCGCGGATAATATCCGTCAATCGTCGGCCGGCTCATGTACCGCACAATAATAACAATATAAACACACACCCATTTACTACCCTACCCCCTCACAATCTTTTCACGTATTGCCTACCGGTGAGCAGACCCAACATATTAGGGGTTGTTTTCGAGGGCAACGAACTCTCTTTCATCCAAACGGGGCGTCTTCGTCGTGCCGGGTAATACGATGTATTATTATGAACACACATACTTATTACTATATATGACGCGTCGTGTATGCGCATATGACATGACCACCATCGCAGCGCAGGACTATTGCTACGACAGTACGACACACACACATACGAGGAGATAAAATTATAAAATGACTACGTGCAAAAAATATTGAAGCCATGTATAACATAATATAATATAATAATATGCGTATAATATAGGTGCTGTTTTTTTTTTCGAAACCTTCGATGCCGTCTGTGTTCGGCGTATTGAGACAAAAGCGACGGCGACTGCTGCACGACGACCATCAGTGGCAGTGGCGGCGGCGGGAAAAGAGTCTAAAAAATAAAAAATATATATACATAATACAAAAGAAACGAATCTCCAGTGCGAATTATAAATGTATTATTGTGTATAGTGCGTGTCGGCGGCGATGTCTGGTGGGTGGGAAAGGGTGTATGGGTGGGGTGGACTGGTGAGCGGGGTCACATTATAATATTATACGAACGCGTTCCACACTCTCCGCCGCGTTGTCGAGGTCGGTGTTCGGGCGGCGGTGGCCTCGCGTGGCCGGGACGCCGTTCGCGGGGGCCCACGTGTAGGCGTCGGACCACCGTTTCTACCGACGGTGGTGGCCCACCGAAACGGCCGTCCGGCTCCTCCACAACCGCCGGCTTGCGCCGCCGCCGCATCGATGCGTTGGGAAAGGTTACACTAGCCTCACGCATGTTCTGCAACGCGACGCCCGCTTTCTTAGCCGCCCGTAGCGCCTAATGAAAATATTTCGTGTTACGATTTGCGCGTTGCATAACTATAGTATTATACATACTCCATCTGCCCCCCTACAATTGCCTGCATAGCAGAATCTCGTTGCCGTCGACGTACGCACAAAACGAATATTATTGTTATCTCGTTTGTAAACCCATTTTTTTTCATAGCCGCGTCAACGACATTATAATATTATGTGCGCGATATGACCAACTGCAACAGCATTCATGATAATAGTTTAAGTGCCCGTGTGTGACGTGTGCGCAGTGTGCACACTACTCGACACCACGCGACGATTGTAATAATTGGTGATAATAATAATTGTTGGTAGCTTTTTTTATTTTTCCGTGACCCATTTATTATTATTATTATAAGTAGTACTACTAGTAGTAGTAATAGTAGTACTGTGACAATCACATGACGGTATCAGCGTACTAGAACTCAGCTCAACTCCCACATACGTCCGCCGCCGATGTAGCCTATGCCATATTATTACTATTAATATTATGTGTTATTATAATTTTATACGTTATGCGTGTATCAAAACCTAATGTTATATTATTATAATATTATTACAATCGCTATTGTTAATATGCTATTATACTTTGTAAACGCGCGATCATGTGTAATTTGTAGTGTTCATTTTTTCATCACTGTTCACTCACTCTCTCTTGCTCTCATCCCGTCCCGGTCTTTCACTCTTTCTCTCCATCGGCATTGAAACGTGCGTACTGCGTTTTCGACAAGAACAACAATAAAATAAAAATTCGGCAGATGCACACGCGCTCACTCCCGAATATTGCCGTGTCAACGAACCCTGGGCCGTTCAAATGCAGGCGCGCCCCTTTTTTCGGAGAATAAACGCCGCCGCGATCGTTTTCGTCGTTGTCGTCGTCGTTGCCGGTATCCCGACCCCAATGCCCGACTTATTGGCTCGCGTGTGCGTGCGCGGTGCGTGTGATTCACCGGGGTCAACGCACCGGTGTCCCGCGGTCGTTACTGCAGAACACGACGTAACGAAAAAATCAAAACCTTGTTTTTCCTTTCTTCTTCTTCTTCTTCGAAAAAAAATTAAGCGTTCTATTAATACCGGTGACGATCATCGTTATTCGCCAAGGTTGTATAATGCTTTAATGATATGCGCCTGGACCAAGTTGAGACACTCGCCACGACGTAATGTGTCTTGTATTCTTTCGCGGGTGGCGGCCAAGGCTATCATCGTTTCCCATACGAAAACAACCCCCATATTTCACGTGTGCCCGGCAGGTGGGCTGATACAGCAGCAGCTGAGGTCGGCGATAAGTTTTTATTCTTACCGCAGCAATATTATTTTAATATTATCGCTGTCGTTTTTTGCCCCAGCCCCCATACTACTCGCCGACCGCCAAAATCTTCACGGTGTAGTGTGCATATATATATATATATATATTCACATGCAGGGGGGAACAAGGACGATGGAGGGCTTTGTCGTCGTTCGATGACCTCCGTATTTTTGGGCTTGTTACGTTATTATTTTTCCCCTACGGTTCGCGAGCGTAAATACGCGCTGCGCGCTGCTCCTCCACCTCTCCACACCGATCCCCGCGCGCGCAGGCGTTCGGCCACGTTCGTTTCCAGTCGGCAGTCCGCGGTTCTTCTTATCGCGGGTGCGTGAACACATACATATCAATATACGTATATATATATGTAATATGTGTATTATATACGCAGCGCACGCATAAACGCACTCGGGAACAGTCTAAATACGCACGCAATGTTATCGCCGCTGCCAAAGCACGAATCGCCGCGCGCGTGGGGAGGCACCATCATAACACCACAATAATACTCGACGACATAATATAGGCAGTGTAAACGCGCGTGCCGTTGACGCCGCCGCTGCTGTTTGCTTGCTTGCTCGTTCGTGCGCGCATACGCATACACGCACACTTGCGAACGTCCGTATACACGTGCCGCCGGGAAACCGAGAGAGGAGACCGTTTCGGACGAAACGCTCCCGCCGCCTTCGGGGCTTCAGTAGGCTGTTGACTGTTGGCCGCGGTCCCGCGACCGCGCGAGAATATCGTATAYCATATACTGCACGTCCGCATCATCGCTCAACATTCGTACCGAAAGTGTTCACCTGCATAGTCGCGTACTGCTTATCTCGAGTTTTCACAATTTCCTAGTTAATTTCTTTTGTTTGCTTTTCTTTATTCAATTTCTTTATTATCATTTATTTTTTTTTTCACGCTATTGCCATCTCTATTCTCTTTTCGTTTTCTTCCCCTCTCCAAAGATAGCAGCTGCACCGCTCACATATATATATATATATATATAAATATATATATAAAGTGTGAGAAAGAGGGAGTGAGAGAGAAAGTAAGAGAGTGAGAGAGTGAGAGAGTAACTGCATAGTTGCAGCATAGTCACTACATTATACTATTAGTCTCGTCTAGTCTCTGGTCCCGCGCGCTCGTCTCGCTGCTGTCAGTAACCGTGGAGGAATGCCCCAGTGAAAAATGGCTCAGCTTTGGGACAAGTCGCAAAAACAGTGGATAAAAAATTTTTGGCTCAACCTCAAAAACAACAACAAAAACGCCGGCGGTAAGAACTTGCAGGAAAAACGCACGTTTTAATTTCAGTTTCATTTTTTTCGTTTATTATTGCCGTCGTCGTCCGGTGTCATTGACACGCGTGCAGACTATTTACGGTTTTAATACCGAAATCGGACGACAGACAATTTTTTTTATCATTTTATTTTTAAATTTTTTTAGGCACACCTTGCTAATACGTTGGTGTATCGGTGCAGTTTGCTTTGTCCAAAGACAAAGGATTTTGTTTACGTTTTCAGTTTTTGTTGAGAATAATAATAATTTTTTTATTCCATTTGAATTCTGATGTAGACTTGTAGTGATACGTAAAACTGTCTACGTTTGATGTGTACACTATTATAGTTTTATATCCCGTAAATAGTTGACGACGTAGCAAAAAGAGACAATATTATTATTCATGTTGTACACGTGTGATACTCAGTTTTGAATAATTATTTTCTTATGGTTTTAAATATTATCTAGATGATTAATTAACTACAACAAACTAACTATATGGTGTATTCCTGATTAATTTTTACAAATATTATGACTTTAATGTTCATATAGACGTAGAGGAAATAAATTTATATTTAATCTATAATATAACAGTTATATTACCAAGAGTTCGAAAATAAAAATAAATAAATAATTCAACACAATAGCTAATATTAGGTGTTAAGTCCTTTTTTACTTGATAGGTATTTAAAAATAAGTTCTAAAAGTTAAGCACTGAATTAAAATTATTAATGATATTTATTTTATGACTGATAAAAATACATAAACAATCAAACTTTCGTTTAACAGTATTTTAATTAAATACAAAGATGTATTTTTTTTACTTTTACTTACGATTATATATTTATTTTTTTTGATTTGATTTTGATAAAATAAAGAAAATCTCAATTACCTATGTGTATTAATATATATGTACCTAACTAATAATAACGATTAAAAACAATCTGATTTAAAAAAAATTGATATAATATTCGTACGTATACCTATAAAAATATGTGTACCTAATATCTATGCCATGCTGTAGTCAGTAATTGTCCGCCGTGTATCTATAAGTTGATAAAATATATATATATATATATATACCATAGGTACATTAAAATAAATCTATTATGTACTTGTATTCGTCATGTTAATTTTATTTATCTACCACTTAAATGTTTATCTTTTGAATGGTTAAAAGGACGCCACACGAGCATTTGTTTTCTCCGTATTACAAAGTACAACACAAACTATTTTACGTTCACAATAATACGTTTTACTCTGTGATTTTTTAAATTTGAATGAATTTACCTCTTATAAAATGTATAGGCAAGAATATTGTCTGGAAAACTCAGATGATTTTATTGATGTCGTTATTTTTTAAATAAGTTATAACATTTTAAACGGAGGGTTTTTTTTTACATTTTAAGACGACCGTAACTTAAAAATAATATCAATAAAATCATCTGAGATGCCCTATATAATATTCTTATCTTACAATTTTATAAAAGGTTAATTCAATCTAGTTATAAAAATTTACAGAGTAAAATGTATTATAGTGAACTTAAAATTTGCCATGTTGTACGTTTGTAAGACGAAGACAACAAATTCCCGTATGGCTTCCCTTAAAATATTTTAATATTATATTAAAACAATTAATACATTTCATATTTAAGTCGTAATTAATAAGTTCCTTCATAAAATGTATCGAATTAATCATAGTTTTACACGATGATTAGATAAAATAGCGGAAAATAAAAAAATATGTGTAGATACCTATATAAAATTTAAGCCAAAACTAATTTTTTGCATGGTCTTATACCTTCTATTTTATTTGGTGTTTTTTTATTTAGAGAAATAAATTATTAGTTACAATTAAATAAAGTAATAGCATTGTAATAATAATAATAAAACTGTATAATACTGATGTAAAACTATTGAGAATTTATTATATTTATTCATACATTGAATTCATATTATATCTAAAACACGTATTTTATCACTTATCTCAATTGTTGTATATATGTAATAGCTAACTTGCTAACTAAAATGTTTCTATTTTTAACGTTAATCTTTAATGTAGGACCTTTGCCTTGTTTTGCCTTTTAAATCATTCATTTAGATATAAAGCCTGAAATAATATTCGGTGATAGAATAATACCCGTTATATTAACAATAAACACTGGTGAGACACGATTAAGTTATTCTTATTGCCCGTGTTAAAGTGTTTTGATTGTAATTTATATGCACGCTACATGTTACTACAATAATTGATACCTTTTAAACACTTGTATTAACAAAAATTATTTAGTTTTGTAACTCATTTGGTACCTATTAAATTGTGCTTAAGTACATAATCTTGAAATATATTTACATAACATTATTTTTGTGGAGAGGTACGAAATAAAACTTATACTATTGTATGCCACAACGCTTAAGATTTATTACGCAGACCATGATGTCTGTGTGTGTTTAATAACTCTATTGGTTTACCTATTCTTATTTCCTACTATCCATAACAAAAAATCGTAAAATATAATATTAAGTATTACATACCCTTTGTCTTTAACAATTACTTTGATTTCATTTGAAATATCCTTTTATTTATCTAAACAAGAATTCATAACTATTAACTAATAAAAATCCTTTAAGTAGGAATAATAATATAGTCATATAAGATTTATTCCAACTGTTGATGTTTTGTTTATGTCAACTAGTTTTGAAAATCTACCAATACATGTTTCAGAATAGTGTTGAACTTTGGTAACTTCGTTACAAAATTTGCGAGTTTCGCGTGTCACGGCGTCACGAATAGGCAATTCACGGGCGTCTGCGTCTTGCGTGCAAAATACAGTATTTTGCTAATCTCCTCCCACATTTGTGATTTTTTGTTATGGAGCTTATTGCCGATATATTTTCATGTTACGCGTGCACATCAAAATCATCATCAGATACGGCTAGAATAATCACAATAAATCGATATCGAACAAATATTTACTTGACTTGAACACATAACCGTTACACGACGAAAAGTAATTTTAACATTTTCTCCGAAAGTACGCCATTGGCTCTCAGTATAATAAGGAAAATATAGTTATTCTGTTTATAATATAATATCTATACATATTTAATATTATATACCCCGTAGTCTTCGTGCTCTAGACAGGTCATCTGTACTGTATAGGTTACTTCATTAAATTGACGACCTTTATTTTTTGTTTTTGAAAAAACTTAGTAGTTTTTGTATTATTTAAATAATATTTTTAATACCCTATATTTTTACAAAAACAATTTAATTTTGGTCATAGTGCTATTAATAATTAATTTTATTAATTATTTTAAGGCGTATGAAACATAAATGAACAGTTTAAAAAATATATAATAAGTATTGTTATTATTCAATTATTATAAAACATGTTTGTTCCAAAGAAACGATTATTGACCTTTAAAATGTGTGTAAGCTAAATGTACTCGGTTTATTGGGTATATACATAATATGGGATGACATAATTTGAATATTGTCGTGTAATATCCAAACTATTTCTGCGGTATTTACTCGACCCATCATCTGTACAAACAGTTTGCTCATGCATAATAATACCCTCCCTCTTTGTACTTAAAAACCAATATGAATTACGAAGTAATTAATTTCAGCAATGAAAAGAGAGTTTACTGTGTAAAAAAAATACCATAGGTACGTAAATGCGTCGAACAATTCACGTGCTGGATTATATCGCTGGAATTCACTAATCTCACGTATCATCACACAGTAAGCTTCTATTCTTAACGACCCGTGCATAAAAACGACACAATATTGCGACGATTATACGAAGAGTGAATGATAATAATACAATTCTAAACATTATTTCATCGACAATAAACGGCAGCGAGTTGCTTTGTATAGTGATATAGCTAAATAACTGTGCGCGTTTATACATTACAAATGTATTTCACGAATAAAGGCGCGAGCTTTTAAAATATTATAATATGAATACACACTAATATTAAATTATGACTACAAGCATATGATATCTATTATAATATATAACATAGGTACTGACACATTCGAGGAAAGGATATTTGTCCTGTTGTACGACATTATTATTTAAAATGTTGTATTATCAAAGTCATCGTGTTGTCATATTTCTTTTAAGCATTATAATTCTTTACATGTTTTTAACTTAAGTGTTCACGCGTTTGAAAATACACTATTTATTATGGGATACATAATAGTATAATTTATTAAAAATAAATGAGTATATTGTATCTATATATATGAATATGCATATATACGTATATAAATATTATTTCATACACTTTAGCACACACACAAAATATAAATGTATACTTCGGTAACTCCACCCTCTTGAACAGCGTTCTATTGTATATATGCGTATAATTAAGGTTGGCATTAATATGTCTTCCTATAGTTGTATAATATTTAAACTCGATACATAGAAGGAGCATTGATTATAAAACCAGCATGTTAAATAAAACAGTTATTAGCTATAATAAGTAATKTATAATCAATTCAATATTAAAAAAATCACAATTACTGAATACAAAACAAACCAAAATAAACTTATTAGCAAAAATTTTATAATCCCAATATTTAATTTTATAGGACGTATTTCATATTTGTTCACTTAGTACAAATTGTGATTGTTACATATAAATAACATAATAGCTCGTTTTCGTATCATTTATTTCAATTTATATGACATTTTGTTTTTTATTTATGTTATAGAAAATGTTTTGGGCCATGTATCCGACATGGTAGAACTTATCAATGGGGAAATGCCGATTCTGAGCTCGCCTGGTGGAGGAGGATCTACTGATTTCGTTCGCGTTGGCATCGACTGTACGCTCAGCCCGTTGAAACCGGCCACTGCTACAACAGGAACTCTACACAATCAACAACAACAACAGCAGCAACTACACCAGAAGACGGGTATCGACGTCGCAGAGAACGCTTCCGAGGGATCGGCGGCGGCGGCGATCAAGCGCGTAGTGTGCAGCCCGGATCTGCCAGTGTTCACCATAACGCCGGTGGTCGAAGAGGCAACCGTGATCGACTCGGCTAAGACAGTGGCCGCGGCGGTAGCGGCCGAGCCAGCTATATTACAGTCATCTCACACGGCTACTACGGTGTCTGATAAGTCTTTGCAGTGTAACGTGTGCCACAAGGTATTCATGCAGAAAAACGCTTTCCAAAATCACTTGCGATCTCACGTGAAGGACACGACGACGGACGGGCCGTTCCAGTGCAACTACTGCAGCAAATCATTTACGGTACCAGCCCGGTTGACCCGGCATTACCGAACACACACCGGTGAAAAACCGTACAAATGCGAGTATTGCGACAAACCGTTCTCTGTCAAGGAGAACCTCAGCGTGCACCGGCGGATCCACACCAAAGAGAGGCCATACAAATGTGACGTGTGCGAGCGGGCGTTCGAGCACAGTGGAAAATTGCATCGGCACATGCGCATACACACCGGTGAACGGCCGCACAAGTGTTCGTTCTGTGACAAAACGTTCATTCAGAGTGGCCAGCTGGTCATTCACATACGCACTCACACGGGTGAAAAACCGTACGTGTGCAAAACGTGCGACAAGGGGTTCACGTGCTCCAAGCAGCTCAAGGTGCACACACGCACGCACACAGGCGAGAAGCCTTACTCGTGTGATATATGTGGCAAGTCGTTCGGCTACAACCACGTGCTCAAGCTCCACCAGGTGTCGCATTATGGTGAGAAAGTATATAAGTGCACGATTTGTAATGGCACGTTCACCTCCAAGAAGACCATGGAGAGTCACATCAAGAGTCATTCGGACAACGGAGGTAGTGGAGCGGCGTCCGTGGCTACGGCTACCACTAACGGTGTCCAAGTAACCGACAGCGCCGCAGCGGCTGCGGCCGCAGGCGCACTGGTCATCACTGTGCAGCCTTCGTCCAAAAAAGACGCGGCGTCTGAAGGCGAGACTTCGTCGAGTTGTGGTAGTGACAAGGAGAACAACAAGTCTTCAGTGGCCACGTCCGCTGCGGTATTGCTCCAGCTGTCTGATGAACCAAAACGCTCTAATCTTCTCCTGCAGCAATCGACAGCAGCGACGGCTGCCGTAGTAATGGTTCGAGAAGACGATGTTGGCGGTGTTGGAAAGTCTGATGATGAAGAAGATGACGAAGATGAAGAGGATGATGACGACGTAATGATGATGGGTGCTGCTGACGTAGACACTGAACTCAACAAGCTGTGTCAGTATTTGTATCCCAGGTTACCTGGTAGAAATCGCAAACGCAGTGATTACGATGATGACGAGGAAGACGACGAATACAATTGCGATCAACCTCCGAGTCCGGCTAGCAGCTCTTCGGGTTCAATGACTCTGACCATGGATGTGTCACCGCCACCAATGACTCGCCGACAACAATGTCAACAACAACAACAACAACAGCAGCAGCAGCAGCAGCAGCAAACACAACAACAACAGCAGCAGCAGCAGCTACAACACCACCTGCAGCAGCAGCAACAACATCAGCAGCAGCAACTAATCCAACAGCAACAGCAACAACACCAGCAGCAGCAACAACAACACGAACAGCAGCAGCAGCAACAACACGAACAGCAGGAGCAGCAGCAACAACACCAACAGCAGCAGCAACAACACCAACACCAACAGCAGCAGCAACTACAACAACAGTCGTTCCACACGATGCAAACGGCCGCACAACAACAGCGACAGCAGCACGTGGATTACGTCATGATGATGGCTGCCGAAKATCGCGCAGTTGTATCGCCTGTCCGGTACACCACCGAAGACGAGACTGCCGTGGAGATGCCACCTGTAGTGTCGTTGACCACGGTGCCATCCTCGCCACCACCGGCACAATCATCACCACCACCGTCACAATCATCGCCACCACCTCCCGCGCAATCCAACGATCGCGATCACTTGAGCCTGCCACCTAGGAAACGGTCGAAAATGATACTCAAGTCGATGGAGAGCACCGCCAAGAAAGAGGCGCAGTGCAGCCGATACAGTTCGGTAATACATTACGCCAACAAAGCCTCAATTTAAACGTAAACGATCGTAGTATATATATTTAATAATATTATCATCACATTTTATTATTATTATACTTATTTATGATATTACTATTATTATTATTTCGTATTAGAATAATTACTATTATTAATATTATTATCATGTGACTATCCCAAATATTTATTTTATTTATTCGCAACGTACGTACACATTATACTATAACGTGAAACTTTATTTGCCCAAATGATAATAGTCAAGTTTAATATTATTTTACGTCATTAGTGTTATAGAAAGRAAACATTTATTATTTTAGTATCTGTGATATGATAATACATTATTTACCAAAATATTATTAGGTGAACCGTGCCACTGGGCGGGGGAACGACGCATAGGGAGAGTTCCGATAGTTGTTATCAAAAAACAGGAGTATAAATATATATAATTATTATTATTTTCTACGTTTTAGGACTAATTGTATTATTATTATTTATTTTTTAATAAATATTTTGATTCTTCGTACACGTTTCCCTCGGACGTTCCTTTCTTGAATAGTAACGATTGTTTTTTTTAGTCTGGGAAAACTTTACTGTGTACGCATTTTATCTTTTTTTTTTTAAATTCAATTTTAGTCTATATATTACTAATAATATAATTTAATATAGAATAATGAAATCATACGGGTAGTAGTTAATTACATTCTCTCGCTAGAGGAACAAAAAGTCTGTCGAGCAGTTTTTGCTAATAATATAATTATTATTATTAATATATAATTGCATATTATTTAAACACTATTAAAATGCAACAAGTTGTATAGTTTCATTGTTTTTTTTCTTTTACTAGGTTTATAGGACTAAGTTTAGTAATTATTAACGTAATTAAAATAATACAAAACGGAAAATCATCTACCTCATTTGTATGCCTTATAATATATTAATTGCCTATAATTAGAAAAAACAGTACAAATCATGTTATCCTAAAGTGACGAAACTCACTGAGGACCAATTTATATTTAATTAATTATTATGTTTATTGTGTGTGAAAATAATATACGCATGTGTGTGTGTGTTTGAGTATGTATACACACATACTTACAGTAGACGTTCGATATTATTTGAACTTCAACAGCTCGAATTTTTTGACGCGGTTGACCTAATCGTATCTTTTTTCTTTTGTTGGCCTTCAAGATTCTATCGAGTCTACTGTAATAATTTAATTTAATTGTAAACAATTTTTTTAAATGTTTATCACTATATCAGCGTCAATCAACAATATATATATATATTGTTAGAAATTAATGTTGAATATGTAAATACATTGACTGTCTTCGTATTTATTTATAATATACAATATTACAATAAGTAAAATATGTTATRTAATACGGATACGAAATGTATGTAAATGTACTGATTTTGGATCTCTTAATTTCTCTGTAAAACCTGTAGGAACACATTAATATTATTCTACAAAAAATGTGTTGCATTTAATGTTCCTACGACAGAATCATTGTTAATTAGTCCATACCCTTACAATGTTGATTTTTACACATAAATTTAGATCAATTATTATGTTTACTGTTACGAGAATATTAAGTTCGACCTAAAAACATCTGTGTCTAACGAATAAAAAGAGAGAGAAAACGCTGCAATTTTGAAAAATTATACATTATATATTATATATATATATAATATATAATATATAATATATACGTCGTAAACGTTATTATTAGAATATAATAAACATTTATAAATATATAGCTTATATTTGAAAGACACTAATAATATATAATTGTCGGTTAAGTAGTTTTTTAAAATATCTATATGTTATAAATATTTATTTGTTTATGATTATTTTATTTTTTTTGCATTAATTTAACTTATTATATTATAATACGGGTAAAACTTGTTCAACTGATGGTGCAAATACATAATATACTTATAGTGAACATAAATGTGACCTCGTAAGGAGTATCAAGTGCTTTTTTCATTCTTATTAATTTGATTTATCATTGTTTGAAAAAACAAAAACAATTATTATTATAATTATTATTATTATTATTACTATTATTGTAAAATTATTATTTTTTATTATTATTGAATAGGTACATTATTATGAATATTATTATTTTTAATTTTTAATTAGTTAATGTGAAAATCTTTTATCATTGTTTAAAACTTCTAAAATCATATATGTGTGTGTGTGTGTGTCCAAAAGTCTGGAAACTTTTGTTAACGTTATTATTTGTCGGTGTTTCCCTAATTTTTGACACACTATATATATATATGGTTTTTGACGTACTATGACGATGACAATTTGTTTGTATCCCTACGTATGTACAATATTATGTAGCCATTACATTTATACTACCTATAGTTTAATGTTTAGTCTTTAGAAATATCCAATTTTAGTGTTTATAGAATAGTATAATATTCATTATATAATTTTTTTAATTTTSTTTTTGTTTTTGAATGTTTGATGTGGATTGTATTTTACATTGTGCAGACTTTATTCGAAAATAAATATCAAATACCTACCTCATTAATAAAACAAAAAGTTGTGTGTACTTTTTTCAATTGACTATGTTGGTGCCCGGCATTGAAGTCATCAAGCCGAGAGCTATGTCATGAGAGCTGCGTGCTCGCTGCTTCATATAATGCGACTGAGAGCAAATTCCTATGACTGAAAGTATATTAGAACATGATTGGTTTGTTCCAACATTTTTGGTATTTTGTTTTCGATTCTTGCTCATAGGTACATAAAAAATATTAATGTTGGAAGTTCATGACCATTGCCACCTCAACTATATACTTTGTATACAAGAGTTGTCCTTGCAGTCTAAGTCTGGACAATAGCGGCTTGGACCACTATTATCTGTTCACAATGTTGATGGTCACAATGTTGACGGTCACAATAATATGATACCAGTAAGGCAATAAATTACTACTTCCTTTTACTTTGAATAAAACTATTGGCTGTTGGAATTACGCTATCAGTGTCAGGCAAAGTCGATAAATTATTATTACCTAATTAAAGTTCTAATAATTCACGACATCGCTACCTACAAATGGGCCGTATTTATGGTGTACAAGTACCTATAACTATAAGTTGGTAAGTTTAACTGATTAACTATCGTAGTTAATGTCAGCAAAAGTACAACTGATATATAATTTTTTTACGTTTTTTCTCTATGAAATTATCTTTTATTAAAATTTAATAATAAAAATTKCTGGTTCTCAAATGAATAAACCGGGAAATTTGTTTCTGTTTTATTGTAGAATACAGTAGGTTTTTAGTGTACCACGGTTATTGGGTAAATAACTGTAATAGTAAATAATTTGTTGAATATGAATTCAATGATGAATAATTTTATACAAAAATCGATCCGAGATAATGTGACTGATTGACTAATTTATCTACGCACATTTCAAACCACTAGATGAATTGGGCTGAAATATGGTATACAGATAGGTAGCTATTATAACCTAGGAAACTGCTAAGAAAGGAATTTTTTGAAATTCAGCCCCCACAGAGGAAAATTTTGTAAAAACACTATACAGTGGCGCTATCTTTCCAGTAAAATAATAATTCTACATTGTTGTAAAGCATCTGCTTTATTTTTCACTCAATAACAAAACGTATGAACTTGAAATTTGGAATTTTTGTACCTCATTATAATATGTATCCGTAGGTGGATTACCTACCTGATATACTGCTTGCATATATAGTCCACAGATGAGTGCCTTCCTATGTAAATAAATCGCACGTAAATCGATTTTCACTTGAGATGACTGCTTGCTAGACCATCACAACCAGTTTTTGATTTTGCACTTTTTACATGCAATAAAATACTGAATATGCGAAAAAAATTTAATCTGCTGTATGAATATTGCATATTCATTAAAAATAAATCTTTGTCCATTTAAGGCCGGATGGGATAGCTAGTATTATAATGCAATTAGTAGGTAAGTACAGACATTATCTTAATTCGAATGATGGTTCAATATTTTTTGTAAATTGATTGATTAGGTACTATAACTTATAAGCCAAAACCAACACAATAAAATAGCGTGAATAGATTTGTGCTATAAAAATCTTAAAAATAATCAAACATATTTGAAAAATTGATTATAAACAAACAATTATAGTATAAGTAGTGGTGGAAAGTTTCATAAATTTATACAATTAATATTATTTTTTGAAAAACAATAAATATTCTCTACGTAATAAATAATTTCATTTGAAAAAAAATCGTCATTATTTTGATTCCGGAAAAATTTGAACTTCATGAAGTTATAAATATAAATTTTATTTTGAAATCTTTGAATTACTTTAAAAGCAATTTTATATGTTCAACTTAATACTATTTATACTAGCTAATATTGATATAGCTTAAAATTTTATCAAATATAAGCTGAAAAAAAACAAAACAACATTATGAGGATGAGGAACCTTGACAAATATTGTATTAAATTGTCAAACTTTCATTCAAGAATGTAGTTGGATTACAACAACAATAACAAAAAAATCGATCTTGTCGAAAATTTATTTTGTGTAAATATTCTTGCACCTATTCCCAATGTGTTTTTTTTCAATTTCTTTTGAAAAGTATTAAACATATAAATTTGTTTACAAGTCAAACCACCTACAAAATTGAAAAATAAAACAAATTATTATTTGTTATGAAACTTAAATGTGGGCACAATGATAAAAACTACATTATATATATCATCATTGTAAAACCAAAAATTGTTTTCTTATTAAAATCAAAAATTATTTTTAATAAAATGTTTACCTTTGAATGGTTGAATTTTTTTTACAAAAATCATGTTATAAAATGAAAGGTGTATATTAGAAACATGCGTATAATGTAAAATATTCACACCAAATTAAGTGTAATAATTGAATTCACAGAAAATATTACGTTTTTATGTTTAGCGTATAATATAGGTAGTTCATAGATGTATATTGTTATTATACGCTTTTAACTTCGAAGCCTTTCTCTTTCAATTTTCGTGGGTTATTGTCACACCAATCCACAACAATCTAGCTGTACCATCATATTTTTTGGCTTTTGTTTTTACCTGTAGAAAAAGAAAATGCGGAGTAAAGTGAGTGTTTTAAGTTT